TCTCCAAAATAAAAAAGAAAGGGCCACAAATAGATCCAATATAAAAAAGGAGATAAAAAAGGAAGAAAGGAAGATGAAAAAAATCTATTCCCTTAAAAAAGAAAATAATAACAATAATAATAGAAAAACAAAAAGGAAAAATAAAAAAAGTTTCCAAAAAGCCAAAATCACAGATGTCCACCAAAAATAAGTAGCTAAGGAGGGGGTATAAGTAGAGGATAAGCACAAAGCAAGAAGTCCACCAAAAATAAGTAGCTAAGGAGGGGTTGTAAGTAGAGGATAAGCACAAAGCAAGAAAGCCAACTTTCTATCAGAGAGAAAAGAAAAACACACTGCAAATGTATAATGTCCAAGGCTTTTTTGTTAAGTTCCAGACAGATTTTATAATTCTCTTCCTAAGGATCTTATAATCTTCTTTCTTTAAATTCCAACCTTTTTCTCAACACCAGACTCCAGCCACTGATAGTAACCCTGAAGAGCACCTGGAATAACATTCTTCCATGCACTTCCCTCTATCTTATCAAACAGGCTCAAAGTCCGTGAAGAAAAGCCTCAGTTCTTTCTCAGCTTTATCTAGTCTTCAGAAAATAAAAAATAAAAACAATGTTTCCAAGCCTCTGGGTGGCAGTGTTACTTGGTTTCCTCTACTTTCACTTCCCACACTTATCCAAACAAAAGAGTTAAAAGTATTTTAAAAAGCAAAAATTATCTAAAAACTTAAAAGAAAACTTTAAAAAAAGATCTCTAATATAAAATGTTATAAAAGCAAAAAAGAAAAAAGGGGAAAAATAGACCAGCCCAGTTTAAAAGTTAAAAAGCATACATAAGCAATCCAGCAATAGAATAATAAAAAACCCACTAAGTTTGACTTCCTGTTTAAAATCACCACTTCGCCTCTTCTGTCTTCAATTTTTACAATTTCTTTCTTTTTCTTAGGGTGTTCTCTCAAATAATAGGATTTTTAAAAAATCATCTCACAACACACTTTCAACACACTTTCTCTTCTATTCTCTTCCGTCCGGAGCTGTCCCAGCTTCAGCAGCTTCAATGATCGCCTCTTTGCTGCCAGAAAAAAGAGCTTCTCCTGAATCTACCAGGGACTTTGTGATGTCCCCGGGATCGACAGGGTATGCTCTTTTTTGTCACTGTCTCTATGGGACAGTTTAGGTCCAAAAGGACCGTCCAGCAGCAAAGATAGCAACGGTGATCTTGGAGCTTCAAGATCGTGCGTTGTACCGCTGCAACGCCAGCCCCGCCCCGCCTCTCCTTGAATTTTATTTTTTGTTTGCATTTTTCCTTCATTTAATATTATTAAGTGCATAGTTCCAAGGAAATTTGCTTTTACAGACTTTTTAGAATATTGCTTTCAGGACAACCTGTAGGAGGGAGGGAGGTAAGACAGCATTCCCAGGGCCTCATTTTCACCTTGGATTAACTGTCCAAGCCAGTTATTATTAAAGAACTTAATAACAAAACAAAGGGAAAATAGTGCTGAATTTGAGTAGGTTGCCTCCCTTGTTACCAAGACTTATAAGAAATGTCATCATATTAAATTACTGTCTTCATAGGCCTGGCCAAAAGCTTCATTGGTATATATTCCTTTTTTAAAATATAAATTTTATTTGGGTTTTCACAAAAACATAATACAAATAAAACATATTTTTTTGAGAATAGCGTGATCCCGGGTTATCACTTCTTCATACAGACACAAACTCAATTTCATATTCATCTTTGTGTTCTATTCCATATATTATTACTATTTTAACATTTTCTCCATAATTTTCCCCTCCTTTGGTTTTCTCAACTTTATTTTTAATTATCTCATATCTAAATTCAATTATATATCTTTTTCTAAGTTTCAGTGTCTTTCCAATCATTATATTGGACAGACTTTTGTCTGTCCTATTTCAATTTCATATTATCTTTTCTCATTTTTCCCCTGTAGTTACTTATTAGAGTATGACACCTTTATATCTTACATTCAATATAGTACATAATTTCCAATCGAATTCTGCTTGGTACATTCTTAAAATACACACTATGTCCTTAAAAATACACTGCTCAAAAAAATAAAGGGAATACTTAAATAGCACAATGTAACTCCAAGTCAATCACACTTCTGTGAAATCAAACTGTCCACTTAGGTAGCAACACTGATTGACAATCAATTTCACATGCTGTTGTGCAAATGGAGTAGACAACAGGTGGAAAGCATAAGCAGTTAGCGAGACATCCCCAATAAAGGAGTGGTTCTGCAGGTGGTGACCACAGACTACTTCTCAGTTCCTATGCTTTCTGGCTGATGGTTTGGTTACTTTTGAATGCTGGTGGTGCTGTCACTCTAGTGGTAGCATGAGATGGAGTCTACAACCCACACAAGTGGCTCAGGTAGTGCAGCTCATCCGGGATGGTACATCAATGCGAGCTAATGGCAAGAAGATTTGCTGTGTTTGTCAGCTAGGTCCAGAGCATGGAGGTGCTACCAGGAGACAGGCCAGTACATCAGGAGACGTGGAGGAGGCCCTAGCAGGGCAACAACCCAGCATCAGGACTGCTACCTCTGCCTTTGTGCAAGGAGGGATGGGAGGAGCACTGCCAGAGCCCTGCAAAATGACCTCCAGCGGGCCACAAATGTGAATGTAGCTGTTCAAATGGTCAGAAACAGACTCCATGAGAGTGGTATGAGGGCCCAACATCCAAAGGTGGGGGTTGTGCTTACAGCCCAACACCGTGCAGGATGTTTGGTATTTGCCAGAGAACACCAAGATTGGCAAATTCACCACTGGGGCCCTCTGCTCTTCACAGTTCAAATTCCAGGGTATCTTATGTTGTTGCTTTTTCAGTTTAACCTGGTCAACCAAAACTTTCTCTTCTTATCATCCTCCTGCACATTCTTTTCTGGTCAAGTTCTTCTTTGAGGTGGCCATTTCTGACCACTGCTGTAACCGCCTTCAAGAAAGGGAGTAATGGCCAGCTGAGGAGGAGAGATGCGGCTCTCCTCGACCCTGCTGGTGGTCTTCCCCCTCTTCACCATCTCTACCGGATGGCTTAGTCCCGAATCCAGCCGGCTCAGGGCACTCTGGCGGTGAGCACGGATCAAAACCGCACACGATCGCAGATTTCGGTCTGTCACCAAAGAAGCTCAAACTGGAAGTCCGGTATATATTCCTATTAGGGCGTCTAATTTGATTCCTGAGACAGGAAATCCACATGGCATCTCCCGCCTCCAGCCCTCTGATTAGGGCCTTATCCCTGAGGAGTTCCACCATGAAATAAACATAACATAGATGTATTTTATTTTATTTATTTCATTTGTCAATTGCTTACAAGATAATAGGTATAAGAATAAACGTGAGTGTGAATACAGGAAATCGGTATGAATAAATGGGGATATTATGACAGGGACAGTAGGCATGATTATGCATTTATGCATGCCCCTTACAGACTTTTTAGGAATGGGGTGAGGTCAATAATGGATAGTTTGAGGTTAAAGGAGTGGGGGATTGAGTATGTAACAACAGAGTCAGGTAGTGCATTCTAGGCAGTGACCACTCTGTTGCTGAAGTTGTACTTTCTGCAATCAAGTTTGGAGTGGTTTACATTGAGTTTGTATCTGTTGTGTGCTCTTGTATATTTGCGATTGAAGCTGAAGTAGTCATTGACTGGTAGGACATTGAAGCAGATACGTTTGTGTACTAAAGCCCAAAATTTCAAGCCTGGTGGTGTAGGGTAAACTCCTCTATGAGCAGAGAAGTTTAGTGTTCTTCTCATGAAATACTTCTGGATTCACTCAATTGTATTAATGTCCAATATACAGTGCGGATTCCAGACAGATGAGCCATATTCAAATATTGGTCTAGTATTGGTCTTGTATGTCCTAGGTATTCTTACGTAGATTCTACTTATCACTGAGTTTTCAGCAGATAAACAGCTAGCTCAACCATCTCCAACTAGCATTTTCAATATGTGTTAAACTTTGTCTCTATCATTTCCAGTTAATACCAGTTAAGATTAGGAGAGTTATAATCCCTCACATCTGAAAAATACTCTGCTTGGAAGGCTAAAACTAGTAGATCGTGTCCTTAAGGATAAACCTTTCTCTCATTATACTTGGTATTCATTGCATTCTCCTAATAGATAACTTCCTAAATTTAATTTATGATATATATTTTTTACTATGAAAGTTAGATAGCTAGATAAAGCAGAAGATCCCGTGTTCATTAAGAGCATCTCTAAACCATTTTATAAAATTTAGCATCTCTAAACCATTTTATGAAATTCAAGAGTGCTGTTCCCAGTTACTGTCAATGATATACTCACACAATACAGTTAGCATAGTATCAAGTATAGGATAGTATAATATAATTAAATGTGCCAATGTTGAGGAGTGACCTATGTTTCTAATTAGAATGTTCTTTCAACAAACAATTGAAGTTTAGGATTAGGAAATAGTATTCCTGAGGAATAAACAACTGTTCCTAATCTAAGTTATGGTTTTCTCCTACATGATGAAAAGACAACAGTAGTAGCAGTAGTTTAATTGCTTATAAAATATGATTAATATTGGACAAGAGGGTATAGGAAAAAATTAAATACTCCCTCTGAAGACAAAGCTACTGATCTTTTAAGCAGTAACAGATTACTATTAAACAACTGCTTCAGAGATCTGTGTTTTTGCACGTTGTTTGTCTTTGAGGCGGTAAAAAAGATTGTTGAATCATTCTATTAAGTTTTAGGGCTGGCCAGTTCTTAGGCCAAATATCACGGCCCAGTTTGGATCTTTTTTTTAAAGATTAAGCCATGGTCCCCAAAATTATCTCTGGCAGCATCTCCAGCTTGAAGCTTGCTTGACATAAAATGATAGTGAAAATGTCTAGGAGGAAGAGGGTTTTGTAAATTATAAAAAACAGACTGTTATTGGTAGTAGTGGAAGCCTATTAGTTCTTCCTGTTTGCTTTTACTTTTCTCTTCTATTTCTATCTGATCCCACTTGCCTCCAGAAGACATCACGCCATTTTGGAGGTGGCTCTTTTATTGGAGGAAGGAGGAGTCGGTCAGCATCCCCTGCACAAGAGAAGCATGTATCTCATCATGAGAAACCAAAGAAGGTAAGAGAGAAGAAGACAAATAAAAAAATAAAATACAAAGGGCGCATATCAAAGGTTGAGCATAAGTGCACATATTATTCCATGGAATATGCATTTTGCCTTTCTAATACCAAAGCAGATTAAATCAAATAGGTAAACTTTACCTAAATATGATCTACTGTATTGGTTTTCTCCTTTATCTGTCAGAATTACTATTGGTTGCATAATTCAACATCTGGAAAATATTATTTGCTGAAAATAATTGGATACTTTCAGATAACAATGAAGACAACATTTGATTAATTTGTATTACTTTTCATAAACTTAGTTATACATTCAATAACTAGCTAAGGGCAAAAGCTTTGCAGACTCAGCAAGGTTAATGACTTGTTCTATTGTACCAATAAAGGAAAATATCTCTAGCTCAGGGTTGAAATGAAGGGCTCTCGATGCTCTCTTAGCTTGCTCTTTTCTTGCAGATGTTTCATAACCCTAACTAGGTAGTCACTAGCACTGATCATGTTACCTAGCTAGGCTAATGAAACACCTGAAAGAAAACAAGCAAGTTCAGAGCGTACCAAGAACCTGGAGGGAAGTTGCAGATATGCAGAAGATCCAGTTAACTGCAAACCACAGAAATCCTTCTCTGTCTTCATATAAGTATCACCTTCAAGGTTTCAATCCAGGCTTAAATCCACTCTTATAAGTACAAAGGAGATGGAATCACCCTTGTTAATTTCATGTCTGTTTTCATTTTATTGTCTCTCAGTACCTCAGACACTTGAGGAGTTGAAATAAATACTTTTTATTACTTTAATCACTTTTTATAAACTAGATACTATTGTAAATGTTATATAGGTGTTGTATTATTATTTTCAAAAAATGGTAGTACTAGGAGCAAAGATGTTCCATTAGAGATGGCACTGATTTTCCATTGGCACAGCTTTTTCCGACCAGTCACCCTCTAGAAATAATGTAATTGAGACCTAGGAATTCTCAGTCAGCATGGCTATTTGCCATGTTGTTAGGAATGTTAAGAGATGCAGCCCACACCTGGAAGGCGCCAGTTAAGGGAAACTGGAGTACAGCAATCATCAAATTAATCTGAAAATATTGTATTGAAAAATATTCCATTACAATAGACAACGGAAATTGGTTTTTAAAAGAACTTGAAGTAAATGGAACAACTTGGGAGCCCAGACATTTCAGATAAATGAATGAATTATCTTTTCTTTTTTTAATGAAATCAGCTGTAAAAAAGAACTGAATACATCTACTGCGTGTGTTAACTGAACATATCTACTGAAATATAAACTGTTGAATTCAATGGGATTTATTTCTGGATGGAAGAAATGAAAAAAATGGATGGAGAAAGAATTGTAGAATTGGACTTAATTTTCAACTTTATAAATGGATCTTCAATGCCCTGGGTTTGTAAAAAGAAAACATTCCCATGTATTTTTTCCTGTTTTACTTTTTAATGAATAAGATGTTGCTATATTGCTTTGCTGTACAACAATTTGTACTGCACAGAAAGAAAAATCCAATTGTAATATCCTGGTTTGTTGTGCATCAAGTATGATGTGGGCAAATCATACTCAGAAGTAGAGCAAAACCGAGAAGCTATAATAGGAATTCAAATTCAAGAAGAAATATTAAAGACAATCATAGGCAAAGTGCCTTTATAATAATATTTGCTCTCACCACTGCTATCCTCTCACCCTCAAAAAAAGTCAGAATTAAAGTTTTCAAATAAGTGGATATGATTTACTGATTTACTGGCATGACTTGTAAAATTAATATTTATCAGGATCAATATTAGGACCAGTTTCCATGCCTTTGCAACAGAGATTGGGAGTTCATATTTAATCTTGTCTACATGCTTAATCCATTTTAGAAGTCAAACTCACGTGTCTAAAAACAGACTACATTTGAGTGTTGCTTCTGCAACATGTTGAACGTTTTCATTAAAAACTGTGCTGTTTGTCTGTAGATAGCCTGTCCAATTTCCCTGCAATGCAGATTTTGGTGCTCTCCTAAAATCATCTGTTGCCAGGGAATGCAATGGAAACTGGGAGAGAAAAAGAGAAGCAAGAGGAAACTTGGCTTGGTAAATTTAGTAATGGAACGAAGTATTTAATATGACACCAGACAAAAACAAAACAGAAGGATGAGCTGGATGGCAAGCAACTTGGGGGAAAAATAGGCAATATCTGATAAACTACAAAAGGGCTATATTTACATTAACTTAGAAGGAAAGAGGAGGAAAGTAAAAGCAGTGTCTTCGTTTATTTTAATATGATACTAAGAGATCAAAGGTATTTGTATTTTATTCTTCCTGAACTATCTCTTGTCCTTTCATCCCTCTATTGAAAAAAATGGAGAGTACAGTGATGATGCACAACAAGATGGACAAAAAGGGTAGGGTGACCCATTGGATTGTAGAAGGAATCTACAATCCAATTATTGTACTTCTATTTCAACAGAAAAATCTGTGTCCAATGTCCTGATTATATTCCCATAGCAACAATCCAATCAAATGGGATGATATTAAGGCATATCTTGTACATCTCTGATAGTGTCTTTATGGTTCTGAAATGACCTGCCATTGCAACAAACCCTTGCATATACTACTGCCCTGGACTAGATTCACCACATAAACAATGTTTTATTTAAACATGATTTATTAAAAACTACTACAGATAGTCCTCAACTTAGAATAGTTCATTTACTAACCTTTCAAAGTTACAGCAGTGCTGAAAAAAGTGACAAGACCATTTTTCACACTTACGACCATTGGAGCATCCCCATGGTCACATGATCAAAATTCAGATGCTTGGCAATTGGTTCATATTTATTTATTTATTCCATTTTTTATTTTGTTCTATTTATATAAGGTAAAAATTCAATTTCAATCAAACTAGTGTCTGGGTACAATTATTTTTAGGAAATCATAATCAAAATATTAACAATAATGTTCATCACAATGATATTAATTCTATAATAATGATAATATTTTACTTGTCTGCTTTAACAAATCTTTATGACATTAGTCCTTTTTGTATTTCCATATTTCTAACTTCTGTTTTATTATCTAGCCTTTGGTAAAATAAGTCCCATGTCGAGAAATATTAAGTTCCATCTTTTTCCTTAATTGTAAGCATTAATCTGTCCATTTCTGCAACTGGTTCATATTTACATTGGTTGCAGTGTCCTAGGGTCATGTGATGAGCTTTTTGTGATTACATCTTCAATACACATCATGACCATGAAAATAAACACAAACACACATCCTTCACACTGCACACATTGAATTGAAAACCCCGACACCATACCAATACTGCACTATACAGTAGAATTCAACAGAGCTAATGCCCTGGGATAGAAGCTGTTTTTCAGCCTGAAAGTCAATGGGGAAGGTGGATTCACTTAACAATCTTGTTCCTAACTTTAACAAATGCAATAATTCACTTAATATTGTGGTGAGGAAAGCCATAAAATGGGGCAAAATTCACTTAACAAATGTTTTACTTAGCATAAATTTGGGGCTCAATTATAGTCATTTGAGGGTCAATTAAGGTCATAACTCAAGTATGGATTGGATTTGCAGAACATACTTTGTTGTAAAACTTTATTTAGAAATTATGATGGCCGAGTTCACACAACACTGTAAAACTAAACCATTCTCTTGGTGCTGGGAATTGCAACGTGGATAATGCTTCTCAGAATTTTCAGCATGTCATATGGTCTGGGGATCTACAGAACATGACTAAGCTTTGTGTCTAACCTTCAGCAACAACGTATGTATATATATGTATGTATGTGTATGTGTGTATGTATGTATATATGTGTGTGCGCACGTGCTGCTTTCCCGAAAATACAACCTACCCTGAAAGTAAGTCCTAGCTTCATTTTTACATGTGCTCCCAATATAAGCCCTATCCCTAAAATAAACCCTAATTAAGATCCCACCCACTTAGAGTGCACGGGTAAAAATTAAGCTAGGGTGGGGATGGGGGAGTGGAGCTATCCCACCACTTACTTTGGACAGCTGTAGCCAGGCCTCGTACACCCCGGCACCTGCCTTGCTGGCCTATTCCTTCTGCAGCTGGCAAGGCTTTCCTGAAGGCCTCTAGCTGATAACAAAGGTCCTGATCAATCTGGAGCTCTGTTATTGGCTGCAGAGGCCTTCAGGAAAGTCTTGCCGGCCACAGAAGTTCCTGAAGGCCTCTGACAGTGAAAAGGAGGCCAGGTATGACGCGCACAACTGAACATTTAACAATGTATCACAATAGTTGATAAAGGTTGCTGCCAGCATCCTAGTATTTTTAAAGATATATGATGTTCCAAGTAGCACAGTTTTTTGCAGTTCCGCTGGTGTAATTGCAGGCAGCTGCAACTTCTTGATATATTTTGCAAAATTCTTGGACATGGTACTAAGTGCCCCAATGACAATAGGTATCACTGTTACATGTTTCATCCATAATCACATAGTTTCAATGGCCAGGTAGCAATATTTCATTATTTTTTTTCAGTTCTTTTTCTTCGACACTGGCATCTCCTAGTACACAGATATCATTGTTATATTTATATTTATTTGCTGACCATCTCACTATTTGAGTCAATTCATGTTTTTTGTTTCTCTTTCCAATGGTGTCTCATCTGAACAAACAATTGAACCAGTAAGCTGCCTTCTCTACAAGTATAGACAGCAGCCCTTTCTCCAAAACAACACATGCATCAATTAAATTCACCCTCCCCCTGATATTTTTGGCAAGTCAAGCAATTGTAAAAAAAGAATGCTGAATCTTGTGCAGCTTTCCGTTATCACTATGTTTCTGAGTAACTGATAGTCCATATCCGAGCTTCTCTGATATAGGAAATAAAATATACTTTAGTTCTCCTGACTGGCAGCATCCAAGTTTTCATTTGGCTTAACTAATAATTTGTTTTAAGTTTCCTACTGCTTTGCTTATACATTTATTGACAGTACTGGCCAAGGCAATATTATCAGTAGCTGG